CCGGCCAAGCTGTGGTCTGGGTTTTGTCATTCGCTAATCATTTTCCGTGGATCGTTCGGACCGACTCCCTGCGTGGTGTGTAAAAAATGTGCACGTATCGACATTTCTAACAGTGCGTGCATGACGGAGTCCCGCGGCCAGCGTATAAGCGTTCCAATCTCTGAAATTCTCTAGATCCCATATATTGGGTCGTTTCGTGGAAGGGTTCAACGACACGTGGAAGGATAACAGACTCTGGAATAAAAGCTCCCCAGACAAAATATCAGAAACGTCTTCCCGTGCTCCGAAGGTCGACTGCCGGGCAACGTATAAAGACGTTTCGGAGTCTTTATTGAACGGGCGAAGTGACCGCTAAAAATGTCCGCGAAAAAAAAAAAAAAGGGCAACGTACAGGGAGGGGTACGTTGACTCTTTTACAGGGAGGTGTACGACAAACATTGCCAGGTTGACTTTGACTCTTGTACAGGGAGGTGTACGACAAACATTTCCAAATTGTCAATATGGTGTGCAAGTTCGTCTGCGTTTTGCGTACTTCGTATACGTGTGCTTGCCCTTCAGATGCCCCTATGTTCTTTTGTTTTCCCCCGACCTCAACCGATGACAGCTCGCGCATGACTAACTCCTCATCACGCCTTCCCAGCGCGAACTCTTCGTTGTCCTTTGATTGGCGTGTTTGTCCTGACATTCCAATGCGCAAAAGACGCGCTTTGGAACGCTTACTCGCAGCCGCTAAAAATCGTCGATTCCTCGCTGCGTCGGCTAACTCCATTCGTGCGCGATTGAGCGGGTAGAGCGCGAAATCTGAGCTACATATGCTCCCAACATTTCTCGAGCCATCAAAACCAACGACCATTCTGAAACGGGACGGCGTGTGCTATGCAGTTTATGACTTTGATCCGGAGCGTCGATGAGGAGGGGGGGGGGGGGGGGGGGGGGGGGGCGTCATTGTTTTAACGGCTCTTTATGCCTGCTCGGCATATAGATGGGGACAAAGGAAATGACCGGGTCAGAGATTTACCGTTGTATTGTGATCGGAGCTTGAGGAGAAATGAGCGTCGTATCCGATCCAAACGAAAGTGCGATGGAGCGCGCTGGTTTTTCGGCCGTTTTTTTTGTAAAGACGGATGTATCGTAATTTCTCTCTCTCTCTCACACACACACACAAAAAAAAGAGACCCTGTCATTATTATTTCTCCGTTTTTGGTGAATAATTTAGGACTATCTTCGTTGCTGGCAACATCGAGTCCGGGATAAAGTGACAGCGAATACACCAAACTAAGATATAAAAAAAAAAAAAAAAAAAAAAACGTTCGTATATATGAAGAAATAAATCGGGCAGTAAAATATGCAAATAAGTACTAATAATCGTGACGGTCGCTGCCACGTCACACGAATAACGCCGGCGTACTTTGATTCCGCTTTTATATTCACAAAATCGCATTCATTCTTTTTTTTTTTTTTTGTAATTTTAAGTCGAGACATAAATAGTAAGCCATGCCCCGGATTTTTCTAAGCTGTCCGTGACAATACTATAAAACTCTTTATTTTCGCGGCTCTTATTTTTCGCGAATCGGTCACAGAGGATATAATCGCGGCCACTAAATTTTGCGAATTCCAGACGCCTGCACTGAAACTCTTGAGGACCAAAATTTTCGTGTGCCCTCAAATTTCGGGAATTTTTCAATTCGCGAAATTCGAGAAAATTGAGGGTTGGCGAACAGTAAGTGCTTTACCGTAGTTCCTTAAACTTCCATTATCACGAGTCCACCACTTGCAATATTAAAGTCGGTGAAGTTCGATCTGATGACCGTCTGTAACTGAAAACGCAGTGCACGCTATACCATATGGACAGATCACGGGCGGTAGAGTAAACATAAATCCAGCGTGTGTCTAAACCCTGCTTCACACAGCACCATTTTCTCACGTTACGAGGCTTACGGACGCTTCTTAAGGCCCGTTCACGCAGTACCAGTGAGTTTTAGTATTGCGTATACGAGCGCTTCCGTTAGCGTTACGTGTTTCCACTGTGCGTGCGCAGAGGTCAAACTGCGGTTTTTGGATCGGCGCATTGCCTTGACGCTCATACGCAGCGCGGAGAATGCAACGGTAACGAAAACATACAGTGCTTGTGTTTGCTCCTGTACGCACTAATGGCGAATTCGCGTGGTACTTTCTGCGCGCTCTCGAGCGCTCTTTCCAGAGCGCGCGAGATCGGGTGGTTGAAAGGCCTGATCAGCTGGTTCCCATTCCGAGGGCGCCTCTCCCTCTCAGAGCGCTCCCTGGCACTCCGTTTGTAGCCGTCGGAGTGCGGAGCGGAGCAGGCGTCACGTGGTACTTGGACGGGGATCACGTGGTTTTGTTGACGATGGCCGGCAGTGGTCTGTGGTGGTGTGCGGGGTATATGGCATGACGGCGATTGATATGTGGTTTAGAAAGTGCTTGTGCATTCGACGGTGCGAGGATTACAACGGACGGGACGACATTCGTTTGCGACCGAAACAGAAAAAGTCGACGTGGGAAGTATTCCCAGTGCTTTCACGAGATCGTTCATCTCACGGCGGTGAATCCGCTAATCCTAACCGACGAAGAAACAGCTCGCAGAGCTCGCCGCTGTTTTACCGGGTTTTGTGGTCGCTTCAAGAAATTTTCAGGTTTGGTAAAAGTGTGTTCAAAGGCTTGTGGTGTAAAATAAAGGGAAAGCCGAATATAATGCACTGTGATTTGTGTCACATGGCGATATGTGTTTTAATCCTGCTTGCACGATATTTCGCCGTGATAAAAATGCGGTTTATTAACCATTTTATATTCGCCTGCTCTGTCGTACGCATGACCGCTATCGCAGCGCGTTCACTGTCGAGTACGCGATGAGTTGACAACTATTTCCAAGCGTTGGCTTTCGTTCCGTTCTGCAAAAATCAATTCGCATACTACTTTTTTTTTCTTTTACATGCCACTTTGTAAAACAATTTAAGTCACAAACGTTATTTTATCACGTTGCGAGCGTAAATTTTGCTCAATCGTCCACCGTACGCTGCAAGATCGTGTTGTTTTTAATGCATTACCAATGTCAAGAAATTTCAATTCCGTGACTGGTCTGAGAATGTCAGAGCGCTCTGAAGCCAGCAGTTGTGATCGACTGATCGGCTGAAAAGGATCCCGAGTAGATCTGGCGGCGAGGAGGGAGCGCTCTGCTGAACCGAGGTCAGATGAGAGAGGCGACCACCCAAATTCACCATAATAAAACACTCAACCGTCTGCTTACGTCTTTTTTTTTTTCCTTTTTTTTATTAACTTCCGGGAGCTCGTATACGCTTACGTCGAGAGTCTCTGGGACTTCCATGCTTCGTATTCGCCCTTTCTTGATTTTTGATTCGAAGTGTCTAGCGTTACGTCCATCGTATCCCAAGTTACGTCCAAATCCCCGCCTTCCCTTGGTTGACGGGGGAGAGAGAGGAGGGCGGGGGGGGGGGGGGGGGAGGGTTAGGTATACGCGTTTCAGTGCTCCGTCTGGACGTAACGTTAGCCACAGCGTTCTTGATTGACATCAAACTCAGTGGTGCCATCTATCCGGTAGGCTTGTCACACTTCCGGTCCGGGTATATGTTCTAAAGTTTTACGCATCATTCTTTCGCCATAAGAGTGAATTATGTGTAGCAGTGGCATAAGCGACCATTTTCCGGAAATAGCGCGTAGATTTAATCTCGCAAATACTGCGAAACCCATCGTCTCGTTAGAAACTGGAAGTGTTTGAAGGTTATTTGCACACTGGCGCCACCACGTATCAACTCACGCGAGAAAGAGCGAATAAACCACCGAATAAACCAGCGCAACCAAAGCAAGGAGCAGTTTCGCACGCGACATTAGAAACACGGATGTCTCGGTGACTTATAACGTAACGTAAGAAAACGTAAACAAACATTAGGGAGTTTTTGCAGACCGCGTTTCCTCCTCCGCTAAGCCCTCTGCAACGAAGCCGCTACTGCGCCTGCGCGCCGATGGCTTTGACTGTAGAGTTATGGGTATCGCAGCGTGTTGCGGAGAGCGTTGCGGGACGGTGAAAACAATCTGCGAAAACTCCCTATTAGTGAGTCTTGGTATTGCGTATGCGAGGAAACGAAAGCACTGTGGTTTTGCGTTTGCGTTACGCGGTCCGACGATGCGCGTGCGCGGAGACCAAACTGCGTCTTGTATTGGCGCACGGGCAAGGACGCGCATGCGCAGCGTGGAGCACACAACGGTAACGCATTCACAGAGCGCTTGCGTTCGCTCGTATACGTAATACTAAAACTCTCTATTGTTGCATGGATGGGCCTTTACGTCGATATACGACCGCAAGTCACCGGGGGATCCGTGCTTCGTATCAAGCGTTGCAACTAGGTAAAGGAGTAGCTTGGCACGCGGAATACGAAGCACGGATGTTCCGGTGGCTTGAGATCCTACCTCGACGTAAGCGTAAGTAAACTTTGTAACGTAAAAAAAAAAAAAAAGAACGTGCTGTGTGAACCAGTCTTAACTCCGCAAGCATTCGCAAATGCATTGGACTTTTTTTGGTAGTGGAGGCGAATAATCGAAATTTTGGATTACATATTGGCGACGAGATGTTTCGGTGGAGCCCTCGGACAGTTCCTATCCTTGACGTCACAATCAAGGTTATTAGAAGCGAGCGACAAGTTCGATGGTGCCTAAAAAGCGGGGTAGAAGCTCAATCATCGCGTTCAAAGATTCAGAGTTGAGAGTTTGACTTTGTTCATATTTCCGTCACTGAGAGCAAACATCATCCTGCTCAGGACATCGTGGTAAGCGCGAACGTCGGCAATAGTTCGCGCCATACACGCGGGTGGAAATATGTGGCTCCAATGTCCGCAGGTGCTGTGACTTATCCTACTTTTGACCGCCTCTGCTCCCATGTCAAAGACACCACGCGCGTTCTTGGGACAGTGTTGTCCCGTCTATTAACAGTAGGGTCGCCCATCCTCGCAGCTGCGGCCGTGCCGGCCGGCATGCTGGAAGCGAGCAGCGCCTGCCCGCTGGGCGGCCTGAGTAAAGTGGTCAAGCTGGAGGAGTGGGCGGCAGCGGGTCCCCCGGGCTACCGCTACCAGCACCACCACCACCACCACCAGGGCGGGGCCGGCGCGGCGTCGGCGAGGCAGGTGGCCCGCTACGCCTGCCCGCCCGCCGGGGGCGCAGCGGGCCCCGGGGAGGCGCTGAAGGCCTCTCCGGGGCCCGTCGACACTTCGCTCCTGGCCAGCTTCAGGGACAGGTATGCAGCACCCATTCAACTCTCCCACGTCATTCCACTGCGATGGCGCTGCTGTCGGTACTGCGCGTGCGCAGACGCTTCACTCCTCGAAAGTTTGGTTTCCGTGCATCCACGCCTGGTGTGGACAGACATGGACTATTAGTACTTAAATGGAGCAAGCGAAACATCCAACCGAAACTCTGAAAGTTTTACAATGTCTCATTTTTCCCCGGCCTGTGAGGCAGACTGAGACAATGTAGTGGGATACCATAAGACACACTTAAAAAACCTGATATGCGTTCAGTTTTCTAATAAAACACTTGAAACAGATTGTGTGAGCTCTAACGCACTTTTCACGAACCAACTCCTTGCATTCCATGCACTCGATTCATACTGAATGCGGGGCTGCTTGGCTCCAAAGTTCTAGGCACACAAGGCACTGCCAGTCTCTTGTGGTGTGCATCGCATGGCCTGCAGAACGCTCGGACACTAATGATCTTTCCTTCGGTTTCACGTTTTTGTTGTTGTTATTGTTTTTTCTTGTTGTTGATTTTTGGAGGGAAAGGGGGGGAGGGGGGCAGAGGAACGCCAGACTTTGGTAGCTTTCTCCGACATCAGCTTTGTCCTTTGGGGAGATGACGTTAGAACAGTTCTGCTCTCCGACCTGCTCGTTCTCTTTTTCTGTCCAACGTTAGGTAAAGAAGAAATGTTCTTGAAACTTGAAACTTCGGAAAGAATGCGCCTTCTGTGACCCAGCCGTTTTTTTTTTTCTTTTTTTTTTTTTTTGTAGAGCCGTTGCTCTTTCCATTCCACGAGTCGTTTGGCTCACGTTTAAAGCACATCCTTTGGTGCGCCAAGAAGTGTGGCAGCAGTGCGAAGAGAGTGACGCTCTTGCTTGACACTTTCAAGAGCTTCGTTCATGTCACTTTCGCACTATGCAGCCCTTGTTGTTTTTCTTTGATACGTTCGGACCATCCTAGACACCGGGAGAAAAAGAATATGACTCAGGAGCAGCCAGGAGACCCGTGCGTTATTGACATGCGTGTCATAGAACGCCAGATTGTCGCGTTTTGCCCCGCGCGTATCCCGTTACGTAAATATTTATTTCGTTAAAAAAGCAACCACAGATAGCTGAAATTTGGTCCACATAGAACTTATAAAGCACACCAAAAATTAAAGCTGACTTTGGCAGAATAGTCGGTGACGACCGGGGTGCACGTCTCGAAGCGAAACCTCGCGCTGAATTTTGCGCCTTTTTGAAACGGGGGTAAACACGGCAACCTGAACTCCGCATTTTTTTCTCTCCGGAACGCTCGTGCCGATAGCTCTCATTTTTATACACACGCAAAGCGTACAGGTCACGGCACCTCTCGGTGAAGATTGAATGTACTTTAATCGCTTGTCTAGGAGATGGACGGCGCTAAACACAAACTGTCGGGTTTTGCCCCGGGTCTTATATATCCACGCGCGAATCGCCTTGACGAGACAAACCGTTGTCTGCGCCTTGTCGTTTGATCGACGTACTCCATAGATCGCACTGATTGGTCGACCCCGTGATCTTCGCGTAAGAGCACGCGCAGGCATCCGACTTTTTTAGTTTCTCATCATCCGTACGCCTGTCTAAGGACGCTCAAAAGTTGCAAAGCGACGTTGCTGCAGGTACCTGGGCGCTGCCGCCCCGCCGTTCGGCGGCATGGGACCCTTCCTGGGACCTCCTCCGCCCCCTCCTCCGACGGCGTCATTCCTGGGGCCTGCCGACACCAGCAAGGGGCTGCCGGACCCTCGAAGGATCTCGGGCAAGGGCTCGTCGAGCAACAGTCCCCCGAGTCCCCCGGACGGGGCCCTGGCTCCTCATCCGGGCAGCAGAACACATTCCTCCGCCGACAAGAGAGCCACTCCCGCCGAAGCCCAGTCCGGTAAGTTGGAGAACCAGATGATGCAACAACCCCTCTTTCTTCTTTGTCTATTTGTTTCGCTATATTTCTTTTTACTATTTCGTTCTCTGTCTCTATCTCTCTCTCTCTCTTTCTCTCTGCTCACAAAGTATCCCGTACGAAATATCTGTCATAATTCGTATACGGGATCCTTTAGGTCTTGTACACAATCCTTCATTACCGAGATTACACCGTGTTGTGATTCCATGAAAAAGGAGAACAAGTTGTGGGTTTGCTTTTGAGTGGTATTCTCGAAAAAATCTTCAATCGTGTCTGGTGTGATTTTTTAAAAAAAAATTATTTTAATTTCGAAGCTATACAAAAAAAAATGTGACGCAACCAAAATGAAAATCCAATTATATTTAAGCTGAAGGATAGAGGACGTACGCGGCGGAGTGGGATGGGAAGCGACATTGACCGGAACGCATCCAAGGCAAAAATATATTCGTAATTTAAAGGTGAACGCGCTCATGAACATGGCAATATCCTCTGAAGAATCTCCGAGATAAGCCTGCACACGGAAGCCCACCACCAGAATGCAGACTAAACAACCGTTATAATGGAAGGTTCTACGCCGTACCTATCATACTAAGGTTCAAAGAGAAAGAAGCGGGGGAAAGCCAATGAGTAAACAGTTTCGATTGCTACCGCGAGCCCGGCTAACAAAATGCAACGCAAACTTTTCGCGTCCAGGTTGCCATTACTCCTGGCGAGTGAACTCGAAACATCTCCTTGTAAGCAGCAACACCTGTGGAGTACGCTAGCCATTAATCCAAATGTATTATAGAAATAACAAGTAACTAGCGAAGCATTCATTGCCTTTTTCACCACTATTCGAGATAAGCCCGTGCACATTCGTGCTCACGGAAGGCGCGAAACGACAGCCATTGCGGTCTACCGAATCGACGCACAGCGAGTTTCTGTCAAGATGATGCGGTCTGCTCTAGCATACTGAGCATTGCGTCTGACATGCTCGGAATTCTACTGCAGATCACATTACCTAATCAAACAATTGGGGGAGTCACGACTATTGTTAGCATTTCTAAATAATGTCCAGCTTTCTAGGCGTCCTTGAGTCTTCTATAATTAAAGGAATCCTGCATTTGGTTTTTTTTTTTCTTCTTTTACATGCGCAGCTTATTGCACAAAGAAAACAAAAAACAATAAAAAATATTGTGTGCCCTTACTGCCCTTTTTCAACGCCTTCGATGATGATGTTGATTAGGGGTCGCGCAGACGTCTCTCTAAAAAATCGCACCATGAGATACGGCCAAAAGAAGCGGCCGCGACATCACGATATCGGGAAAACGCTTTTACGAAGCATTTAATCTCCATAGAGTGTAATAAGGTGACACTGCTTATACATCAAACAAAGGACAGTCTTCTTATAGATTCGACCGCGAGTCACCGCGAGATCCGTGCTTCGAATGCTGCATGGCAATGAGTTCAAGGAGAAAGTTCGCACGCTGCATTCTAACCTTTGATATTGAGGTAACTCGTATTTGCAGGCTGTCTTTTGTATGATGTATAAGTAGTGTGACCCCGGCTTTACGCCTCTCAACTAAGGGACTTTGCTTTCAACCGGCATTTTAATAGAACCCATTAAACGTCATTATTACCCACTAATTTTATAACGAACCACGACAGCCTGCAATCAATGTACCCGAGGGCCAGCCCTTCGAAGCTGCAAGTAAAAGCAAGACTGCAACCGAAGAAAGTGAAACAAAAACCCAAAATAATCGCATCCCGTCAAAAAACAAGAAAGGAAAAAAAAGTAACCCCGCGGGACCCCCTCAATCCCCACGACCCATAAATCCCGTCAAACGACCGCACCCACACAGAAGACCCGGGAAGAGCTCTCCTCCCCTCTCTCGCTGGTTGCGCTACCTGACGCCAGGTGTCAGTGTCAACCTGCCCCGTGGTGGCGATGGCGCTGCGCCCGACCTCCACCGGACCCGCGTTTGCGGCGCTCCTGGCCCTAGTCGACCTCGGAGCGCCTGCAGCGTCACGCGATGCAGCTATGCCGGCTAACAAATGGCCGCTCGGGCGCTGTCTGGCTACCTGTGTTGCTGCCGCCGCACACCGCGTCATCACGCAACCCGGGGCGGCCGACCGACGTGCTCCCGTATCGAGCGATCGGCCGGGAGGCCAGGTGAAAAATGTCCGAAGCGGCTGGACCCCGACACCGGCCATTAGTCACGAGCGTCGCATCGTTCATCCTTTCGGATAGAAGCAACGCGCCAGCGCCTTTTCGGGGTCCTTATCAAAAGTTTTTTTTACACGAGGTGTTCCGGTATTCCGAGAAGATGGTCTTCGGGTAACCACCTAGGTATACGTACGTGCGTGGCGTGTGTGCTGATGTGCGCGTGTGTGAAAAGGTGTAAAGTTGAGAATTTGAGGCGGCCTTCGCTTTCTTTTGATGTGTATACTCTCTGGCTGGCTAAAGGAGAAAAGGTAGCGTCGAGCAGATACCGCCTGGAGAGACGCCCGGAGGCGATTTTGTGAACCACACCTTGTTTGCCGACCGAAAAAAAAAAAAAAAAAAAAGACTTTTAGACGTAAAAATAACTTTTAGTAGGCCGTACAGGGAACTGTAAAAAAACTGTTCTTAGAAAATCTCCAAACAAATATAGGGATACGTCTTTTATTCAGTACGCTATATACTGGTGTTTTTAATAGATGCAGACCTCGTCGTGTTATGCCCGTTCTTCGTTCCAGAAATGTAACCAATCAACCTATGTAATCATTGTCGTGCGCCCTCATGTCAAACTGCATGGTTTTTGTGTACATTGACACGTAAATCGCCCTCGCAACGAAGCGTTTTACACGCTACGAGGTATAGTGAATAAATAAATACAAAGAAACAGTGGCGCGTTGTCGGCTGCTCAGAGTGTATGTTAATTGTATCAGCTATATTTATTTTGCATCAATTTTTTTTTATTCCACCTTATCGTTCGCTGTTAAAATCTCTACAAAAAACGGAGAGCGAAACGGCTTGTTACACATGGATTAAAGACAACGTCCTTTCACTGTGGCCTTTTCTTTTCTCCGAATGCGATTAGTGACAAATGGTATCTAAAATACAAACCTTGAATGTTGCAGAAGATTTCTTTCTTCTTCTTCCCAGTCAGCAGCTGGTTACCGGACTGCTGATATGCCGCAGAAAGATATGAATACTCGCGAGCTATATTAATTAAATGAACCATGAAACTTTTCTGTAGCAGTATAATTTTAAGAATTGCTATTGGAGGACATTCGGATTGAGGTTCGTGTCCAATCATTTTGCCCTTCTCCCCTTTACTTACGCAAGTCTTCTTCCTGAGCAGTATAGACAAAAATTTGCATAATCATGACCCACTTTCGCTTTTTATACCCCCCCCCCCCCCCCCCTTCCCCTTCACCGTTGCTACATCAATGCTTCACACGATGCTACTCCTTGAAACTGCTTGCCGTATTCTGTACGGCGCGAACATTTGCCCCGGGCGACTTTGTCGTCTCGGCCGCTCTGAACGCAACCAACGCAGCTATTTCAACCAGGCTAAACATATTCACCGAAACGTAAACTGCTACGAGCAAGGCGGAGAATACAAATCAAGATGGTTTAAATCGTGATTTAAATCGTGATTTAAATCAGACCGGTTTTACTATGATGATTTGAATCAAACCTTTCCCACCAAAAATAATGAAGAAAAACGTTTTTATTCATCATTTGTCCATCGTTTGATGCTTCCTATGTGCATTTGTTTTGTAGCAAAAATAAAAAAAAGCGTAAAGCAAGAAAGATGCATATTATGAAAACGCGCAAAAAGCATTGCTCTGCTGAACAAATCGAATCGTTGAGCTTTTTTTCTACCTTCCACTTCGTTCGCTAGTTACACAACGTCCTATTGCAAGCAAATCAAAACGTGAAAGAAAGAAACGAAAACTAGAAAAAGTAAAGTCTCACTGCAAGCAAATCGGCGCGCGAAAAGAAGCTCACTAAAAAAAATCAATCTGATTTTCTTCTCGTTTGGTTAGAAGTTACATGAATTAAAAGTGGTCAATTAACCCCTACTTTAAATTTACAATATTTTCTTTTCTTCTTCATAGTTATCGGTGATTGGATGAATGGATCAATCAATTTTCCATGTTTACAAACGCATGTAGTCATAAAGAGTCGTTCTTTTCAAGCTACATTGATTTAAATTGAGTTAATATTTTTCCCATATAAAATAAATTCGATTGAAATCTTGCCTATTTGATTTTTTTTTCCTAGTTACAAGTAATGCAAGAAGTAGCTGCAAGAGGTAGCTTCTCGAAGCTGTCATGAGCGACGATTGTCCCGGTGTCCCTATAGCTGCTGTCGTTTTGGTTGCTGTGAACGCAACTGATGCAAATGTCTGAACCAGTCCCCGCCGCTATACTGTAGACTCTAAAAAAAGTCTGTGCGTCCACTTTCCCGCACAACACTCGGAGAGCCAATCAGCGCAACTTACGGAGGCAGCTCAGCGAATGACGATGCCGAAACATATGTTTAGGCCAAAATACGCAGTCTGAGTTGTGACATTAAGCAATGCGAAACGTCACGCTTGCATTGCTTAATGTCACAACTCAGTCTGCGCTTTTTTTGGTCTAAACAGATGTTTCGGCATCGTCATTCGCTGAGCTGCCTCCGTAAGTTGCGCTGATTGGTTCTCCGAGTGTTGTGCGTGAAAGCAGACGCAAAGACGTTTTTTAGAGTGTAAGACATGTGACGTCACGATTCTCAATCCCTCTCGAGAGGGATTGAGAATCCCCTCAGTCCCCTCGAGCGGGTGAACCGAAGCGAGGAGATACCGAAGCCGCTTCCCCTCGTTCTCAACTGTTCCAGGAGGATCGTGACGTCATAGTCCTCGCTTGATCGCGCCCTCCTTTTCCAAAAGTACGGCCGTCTGTTTGAGATAGCGACG